AATTGGAGTCAATTGAAACTATCACTTTATTTATAAAGCACTTAAAACAGCAACAAGGTCAACCAAAGTGCTATATAGCAAAAATAAAACAAGCAAAGGACACAGCATAAAATACAGAGATCCAAATGGGTAAAGACGAGAACTAAATGGCTAACATTATAGAATACAGACGTTAAAATCAACTCGCACAGTGTGAAAAGCCCGGGAATAAACGTGCGTTTTTAAACGAGACTTTAAAACAATGAGAGAGGGAGCCTGTGTGACATGCAGTGGTAACTCATTGCACAGTCTTGGACCTGCAACAGAGAAGGTCCTGTCACCTCTGAGCTTGAAACGAGTGCCTGGAACCAATAAAAGCATCGACCTCAGAGAGTGCTGTGGAACATATGGCTGCAGCAGATCAGTGAGATAGGTATACATAGTGAGATATTTGGATCTACCAGTTTGAAGCCCGCTTTACTTACATACACGTTTTCAAATCAATATTGATGTAAAGGTTTATAAAACAGCATTCAATTAAAATGATATGAAATGTTTGACTTTAAAGTTAATAACAGACAGCAGCAATTCATTTTGTTCTAGGTCCAGCTTGGTTTAGCTGTTAGCTCATCAGTCTGGTCAGGATTAAACTCTGATGTCAGTTTAGAGATAATATTCTTCGAGCTACAGATGAAATGTAGAAATGTTCATCTTTAGACGCCTCAAGATTCAATTCAATTTTGATTCAGAGGGTTGTGATACGATTATAAAACAATCATCGATGCATTGGGATTACATTAAAATCTAAATAACAATGGCTTATTTTACATACTGTAAATATACACTGATTTAGATGCCTAATAAAGAATGCACAAAGATCGTTACCGGTAATCGCATGCTGCTGAACAACAATTAGATGCGAACTTAAGATAAACGCCATCGAATGTTTCAGTCATTACTAAAAACAGTCGTGTTTCTTTAGGGTTCAGCAAAGAAATGTGAAAACACACCGCTTCACTGCAACATGTTTCTAATACAAACAGTTACGGTCACTCCAAAAGAAAGAAACAGAACCACAGTAACCACCTTGCAACTTGATTCAGAATCTTCAACATCTACATTTTTAACCCCTACACCTAGCAAGATAATAAATGTTCATAACCTTTCTACACAATCCATCAAAATTCAGTCAGGTCATCTGGACGGTTTCTTTATTTTGTTGAGACGTTTCGTCCTTCATCCAAAGGACTTCATCAGTCCAAGTACAAACCAGTTTACTGATGATAAGATGGTTTCTGGGGCCCGCCTTCTCCCCCGTCGACTCCTCTGATGCAACCATAGCCAAAGTGGTTCAGAACATCAAAGCTACCAGCAAACTGGCTGGTCCACTATGGGAGTGTGCTGCTTGTGGGACTGAGTTTGTTTGTGGCTCCTCAGATTGATGAAGTCCTTTGGATGAAGGACGAAATATCTCAACAACAAAAAGAAATCATCCTGATGACCTGACTGAACTTTGTTGGATTTTTTTTACCTGGATTATTGCGCATGAACTTTGATCTTTCTACAGAACTACTTTAAAAGTATAGACTGGATTAAAGAACTAACTTGTACTGTATAAGATCAAAAAGAAAGTAGCCACATGTTCTATTTGTGTGAGGTTTTAAAAGTTCACAGTTAAAATCAATCTACCACTGAAATTCAGTCAACAGTAATTCTCAAAGAAACTTTTCATTCATTCAACCTTTATTTCAAAAGGTAAATCCCATTGAGCCTCGAGGACTCATTTACAAGAGAGACCTGATTTCAACTACCGGTAAACTACCGGTAGTTCTTGGTGCGTTTCTTCAGAAAGGCACCAAATGTACGCTGAATGTTAAAGGTCTAGTTTCTCATTCAAGTAGCTTCCCAGCTGAAAGTGGGACTCTTTCATGCTTTTGGTCACACGCCGACCAACCTCTGAGCTTAGCTACTAATTCCTGCCAGCTCCTCTCGGCTGCTGAGCTGAGCCTGGGAACAGAAAAGGGGGAATAGCTGAGATTAAAGTTCACCGAATAATGTAAACTCACCGGATAATGTATTCATAAGTAGATCAAAGTTTGAAAGTTCAAGCTGGTACTTACAGTCCAAACCTCTGAGAGATGTTCAACCTGGAAGAATATCATCACTTCTCCCCATGTCTCCAACATTAGATTATATATTACCAAGAGTTCTATATCTCTACACCGTCTTGTTATGGTGTTTCTGGATATTTCAGTAATTATGATATTTTAAGGGCATACACTAATACCAAAACCATTATTATTTATTTTCTTAGAGAGAGAGCAGAATGTGAAAACCATGATAACACGGATAAAGTTTAAACTTTACAATGCTGTGCAGTGCTGTTGACATGAAAATCAACTTTTTTGTGCAGAGACATTGTTTAGAGGAAGCGAATACACTTGATCTGTTGTTTCTGATGCTTTGGAGCTTTGTTTTCTCTTTGGGCGTGATCGAACCGCCTCACAGACGTGCCACACGTTCCCAACTTTCAAATAAAAAGCGATTTGCTCACTTACTCCGTTTGATTTAATTTCCATCTTCTCTGGCTTTCCTCGAGGTCGTCCAGTTCTCCCATCGTTTGTTGTGCTTCAGCAATATGGCAACCAGTTTGGAGCTCAAAAGGATGATCAAGAACTCCCAACTGTCCAGGGTCACAGCTTCACTGCCCATCTCTCGTAACTCGTCTGGGCCAAGGTTAAGACTCTGTGCTTACAGGATGCTGATCAGATGCGGGTTCAGTTCTAAGAACCAGTCTGGTTCTTTATATAAAATATATCCTCCCACAAAACATAAGTGGGCACTAAATGTAGGAATACTTTGAAAACATGTTTTCTGACATAGACAGAAATGAGTAGACTTTTTCAGGTTGTGTGTTCAAATGGGTTGTCCTTGTTGGTTGCTCTGTTTAGCGTTGGTTTGGCATTTATGTTCAGGTTGTTGTTAGTGTCTGTAAAAAAAAAAAAGACGCAGTAAGTCCGATGTTTTATGTGATGTATAGAAAGGGGAAAGCACTTCACGTTTAGCGAGCTTCTAGATTGTGAAACTGACAGTAAAGTGATCGGACCATGACTCTAGCGTCTTCAACTCATTTATTTGCTACAATATTAGATTATAACTAAAGATCTAGCTCTTATAGTCATAGTTTGCAGCTGATTTCTCCAAAACTGATGTCTTTCAAAAAGCTGTGTACATCAGTAACCTGATGTTTGTTCTTTGCACAGAACCTTGTGTAAAAAATATCTGAACTACAGCTTTAAATGTCATTAAGCACATGACAATGCTAAGCATGGACATAGTAATAGGTCTAATAGATACAGTAGTCCCTCGCTACTTCGCGGTTCGTTTATCGTGGGTTCGCTCTATCGCGGTTTTTCAAAATAAGATTGGACATGACACACAGTTGGCTGACTGATGGATGAGCCACACGATCGGCATGGAATTTTGATTTAAAATCAATTATTTTACATTATTTAGCGTCTGCTGCACATTTGTGCAGCCCATACTGCAGAGAAAACTTCCTCCCGCGCCTCTAGCCCATACTGCTGCAGGACCAATCTTTTTTCTTTCTGCACGTAGAGAATGATTTACACGAGATCACACACAACACACACACATATACATGTATATATATATATATATATATTTTTTTTATTATTATTATTTTATTATTATTTTATTTTTATTTTTAATATTTATTATTATTTTAAAAAAATCACAACTTTAGAATTAAATTGTGTGTAATAGATCCAACAATGTTCAGTCAAGTCATCTGGACAGTTCCTTGTTTTTGTTGAGAGACAAAAAACAGGAAGAAGGAAAAAAAAGAAGTCCAGATGACCTGACAACATTTTTGGATGACTTTACCTGGATTATTGAGCATGAACTTTGACTGAACTTTGACGTGTGTAATAGAATTAAAAAGTAGAAGGTTTAGTATTCTCCAGGAAATTTACTAGTTTAGAGCAGCAAGTTGATTTATTTGCTGTGTATCTGAAACGATAATACAAAAAACTATTAATTAACTTATTACTATGGGGGGGATTGGTGGCGCAGAGGCTAGAAGATGGGCTTGTGATCGAAAAGTTGCAGGTTCACCTCCCGGTACCGTCAACATCAAAATGTGGGTGGAAAAGGTGAAACACCCGCACCTCCCTCCACCATCATTCGCCCCACCCTGGGCCCCCGAGCAAGGCCCCCAACGCCCACCATGTGCTCCCTAAACAGGTCTCTCTTGAAAATGAGTTCTCATGGCTCAATGAGACTACCTGGATAAATAATGGGTAAATGAGAAAAAAAAAACGTATTACTATAGGCAAGACAAACATATGATAACTAAGGTGGCAAAGAAGAACTATATTCAATAATAAAGCAACATAAAACAATATAAAGCATATTATACATATAAAGTAAACAAACATCTCACATGAGGCACATGTATTAGCTTTAACAGCATACTGTATGCAACTTAACTTCTGCATGACTAAAATGTGCATCAACATGATGTTGACGTCCAGACTAAATGATATAACATCAATAGGCTCACCTTCTGTCATCTACACACAGCAGGAAACCAGGAAACCAACAACAGATGATCAAAAAACAAATCTATGTCCGTGATGGGAGAGAAAAAGACTTCACTGCACGCAGCATCAAACTTTACACAGAACGGTGCGTCAGAACAGCCATGGTGCGTTCAAAAACGTAGGATTCATGAAATTCAGAAAGAAAACAAGCTACAGTCAAAGAGAACTTAGCTCAGCAAGCAAACTAACCACTTATAAACAATGTGGGCGTTCTAACAAGAATCGTATAAAAATCATTACTAAAAATAATAATAATAAAAATTTAAATTCCACATAGGGGGCCCCCTCGTGGCCTGGGGGCCCTAAGCAGCCACTTATGACGCTTATGCCTATGGTTGGCCTTGAATAAGCTTTTGTTTTTCATGCCCTAATGGATCTTTTTCTGTGCATCTTCAGGTACGAGAAGGTTCCTGTGATCCTGGTGGGGAACAAGGTCGACCTGGAGAGCGAGAGGGAGGTGTCGTCCGGCGAAGGTCAGGCCCTGGCCGAGGAGTGGGGCTGCCCTTTCATGGAGACTTCAGCCAAGAGCAAAACCATGGTAGACGAACTGTTTGCTGAGATCGTTAGGCAGATGGACTACGCCGCCCAGCCAGACAAGGATGACCCCTGCTGCTCCTCGTGCAATATACAATAGCCCCCCGGGGGCTCGGAGAACAGGCCCAGCGAAAAGTCTACAGGGAGGACGCTCTTTGGAGATGCAGCAGACAGATGCACATTTAGATAAACACATGCCAGTTAAACTTAGAATGAATTCATGGTTGAGCGCAGCGTAAAATAACTCAGTGGAGCAGAAAGGCCTCGGTGACATGATAATTAATGACAAGTGAGTAATGAATGAGGAAAACCAAGAATTTGCCGCAAGAGAAATTGACAAATGACACAAAGGATAATGCCCTCGCCTTATGTTGTTATTATTATTATTATTATTTTAGGTCTTTTCAGTTGTATGGAAGAGCAATCATCAAAGAATCACGAATTGGTATCTTTGCGATTTGTTAATCTGCAGTTTAGGAGCAACAGATCTCCTCCTCTGGGTTTCATTTCACAATAAACCCCAAGATGCATTTCTTGGTGACGATGAGTTCATCGCAGGCGGCCGCCACACACGAATCCAATAAAACCTTTCTGAGAACCAGTCATTTCAAACAAGTGTAGGGGTAACTGTGTCACCGTATGTGAGCTTTTCCTCCCAGTTGAGTTTGTTTCACGATCGCTAGAAGGTTTTTATACTCATTACAGGGCTGAAACAGAGAGGTGACCTGAAAGCACCTCCATCTGCTTTTGTTTTTCCAGTTGATCCTAGTTTTAATAAAGAGAAAATGGACAAGTTGGTGTCTTTTCTTTCGAACACCGGTGCAGTCACCTCTTCCCCATTTTCTCACTTTGAGGTATAAAACTAAACAAAGCTGGATTTCACGTACCGTGTGATGTTTTCTTCTTTTCTGGAAGACAGGAAGTAATGTAAGAAAACCCTTCACCCTGATAGAAAGTTCTCTTTGTTAAATTCACAAAAACAATCGTTTGTTCAAACGTGAGTCGAGAACGGGTGGCGTTCAAAGCGAAGATGCCAACATTTGCCACACTTTGGCGTTTTATTTTACTCCATAAGAATATGTGGCACGTGTGATGCCTTCTGTTATGTGCTCAAGAGTATTCAGATTAACAGTAGCAACGAGAACGTGGACAAACCTACTGGTAGTGTAAATAATTTGTACTGGAAGTTGGCCAGCTCGGATGAAGACACTGACTCAACACGTGGAATTGTCATGCATGGCTGAGTAAACGGTGGACTCTTATCGTTGGAGATTTAATGTAGGCTGTGGAAAAATGTGCAAATCGAACACCTACACGTCTGGATCTGGAACACTTGTTTTAAAATGTATGTCCGTGTTGCCACGGGAACCAGACCTGTCCCCGTGTGACCATTTTTCATTGTTGATTTTCTATTTTTTTATGTGACCATTTACTCCTAACCCCTCTCTGAGTGGTGACGCCGTTTCATTTGACACCGCAACAATAAAAGTGCATTCAACACTTGATGCGCCGCTGCAGAGGCTTTTATGAAAGGGTGCTTACACAGGAATGTTGTGTTTCTTTTGTTTTTGTCAGCTGGACTGGTCTTAATGATGACCGACCCGAATATAACCTGCCACCATCAAGGGATGTCTGTTAACAAAATAGCTTGTAAACCACTAAATGGATTTTAATGAAACTTTCATATGGCAATCAACTTTACCAAACACAAAAATGGCTTTAAACCTGTTAAATTTAGTGATATTGAGGTAAAGTTTGGTGTGGTTGTAGTTGAGTCATTCTCAGCACATACCCCAAACACTAACACGTCTCATAAGATCTAGCAGTAAAACAGGCATAACAGAATTTGCAATGTTTGACCAGAACTGTTATAACTTTGACAATCCTAATGATTGATCATAGTCTAAAACTCTGGCATAAAAAGGTGACAATTCTTCAAAAAAAAGTCTATTCGTAGGCCTGTCACGATAAATTTTGCTAGGCGATTAATTGTCTCAGAAATTATTGCGATAAATGATAATATTGATTGAAATGTGACAATAATCAGTAATTACTGTCAAATCTAAGAAGAAATATTTTTTGTTTTGCATGTAGTACCTTTTTTCCCACCACCAGATGGCAGTATAAGACTGAACCGAAGGATGGATAGTGAGGGAGCGAGCATTGTGTCTCTTAAGAAAAATGGGAGGGAGGCCCCTTGACGTGACATGGGCTGTCTCTTCGGTTCACAAAATGGCGGACGCTCGGTGTAGTTTGAGCTCTTTAGCATAGCATTTTTCACACAAAGCTTTTACTTAAAAAAAATAATCAGTAAACAAGTTATCAGCTTCTTTTTGCAGAGAAAAACTTTTACACAAAGGCACGAGTTTCAACCGTGAATTTTGGAGCTTTGACAAGACAGAGGTTTTTTCCTCGAGATCGGCCTGTTAGCTTAGCTTGTAGCTTAGCTTCTCAGTTTAGCTGCTTTTAACGATCCAAAAACGTGATTTTGGACGGTTAAAATGGATTTTAAAGAGAAAGAGAGGGTTCAGTGAAGAGCACCGGAGTTGAGCCTTTTGTCTTCCAGTGTCTTCAGTAGGAAGAGAGACACGATAAAGCTGATAATTGAAAATGAGGTTGATCATTTTCATTTATCATGTGAGTAATTGATTTATTGTTTATCGCGACAGGTCTTTCTATTCGTTTTTCGTTAACAGTAACTAGATTTCAGTGTGACTGAATCAACATTCAAAAATCCATCCATCCATTATCTTTTACCCGTTTATTCCATTTTGGGTCACGGGGGTCGCTGGTGCCCATGTCCAGCAATCACTGTGCGAGGGGCGGGGTACACCCTGGACAGGTCGCAAGTCCATCACAGGGACACATAGAGACAAACGAGACAAACAACCATTCACTCTCTCACTCACACCTAGGGACAATTTAGAGTTACCAATCAGCCTAACATGCATGTTTTTGGTCTGTGGGAGGAAACTGGAGTACCCGGAGAAAACCCACGCATGCACGGAGAGAACATGCAAACTCCACCCAGAAAGGCCCCTGGACCGGGGTTTGAACCAAGGACCTGCTCGCTGAGAGGCAGCAGCTCTACCAGTTGCGCCACCGTGCTGCACATTCAAAAATAAAACCAGTAATTTAATATATGTTAGCTGATTCATGAGAGACCGATACCGTAATTAGATTTGTTATCACGCAAAGTGAAAGAATAGATGTCAGGTGAAGACAAAAGCGTATTTCTTTCTGAGATGCAGTGTAGACAGTACAAAACATGAAAACACAGTAAAAGTAAGTTTTTAAATTAACTTTAATCAATTTCATTGGTTTAATTCAGTCTTTGAACAGTATCTGCTTTGCATGATTAAAAATATGTGCCTAAAAAAACACTTACCCTTCCTTCTTCATGAGCTTCCTAAAGATCTTGAGCCCTAAATCTGTGATTGACCTTTGACCTTTCTGCCGTTCATTTGTTCTGATCTTTGTTACTTAGACACGGAAGAAAATTACATGCTTTGTGAACGTGTGGAATGAACTATAATACTTACCCTAAAACTCTGTAACCAAAAATGTACTTTGCATGTTAAATCAATTTAAAAAGTGGATGAGGTTTGATCAATTAAACTAGACACAAAAACTGGTGGCAATGAGTATTATAAAATATGTTTAAGTTGGAAATATGTTCTATAAAAGTTTTAAAAGTAAAAAATTCATTCAAGCTACAAGATATTTGCAAATGGGGTCGGAGTTTGGTTCTATCTACAGCAGGTAAGATATTTATTGTTCATAACCTTTCAGCAGAGCCCCAGTTTAAACAATGAATAAAGTCTTAAATAGGTTTGGGGGAAAGTGTCCAAGTCTCCTCTGAGATGCCCGTCAGCATGTTCTAAAAGCAGACGTTTTATGTAAGGAGGCTTTTAAAGAGGTTTGTGTCATCAGATGTTTGTTGTGGCGCTTCATCCACCATGATGAGAGATGGCCGGAGCGCTGGAGGACCTGATGGTGAGAAGTCTCAGTGGGGTTCATTAGGAATACCTTTTTGCTGCAGGATCATTTGCGTTAGCAATAACACATAAAATACAAACTCCCTGCTGCCCAGTGAAGGAGGTTTAATGAGAATAGATTACCAGATGCTTTACAGGGTCGACTGGTGCAGGTTCATCTTGTGAACTTGTTAAAGTTGTCCCATTTTTCCATGAGTCCTTGTAAGGCCTCTTAAGGAACTTGAAATGATGAACCTGGAGCAGGACACGTGAGAAAATAAAGAATAAAATGAGCTTGAAAACAAACCTCCAAGTCTCTCAGTGTGGGTGCATGAACTAAATAGGTGCTGACTCATCATTACCAGCTCCGTGATGTGACTCGGCGCGTTTGTTCCGGCTGAGATCCTCCACAACCCTATGTCAAATGTCAGGATGAAAAGTGGGATTTGCAGCATGACTCACCATCCTCATTACACTCCCCCACCCCCACCCCATCAGTCTGCAGTAAACTTCCCCAAGAGATCTGAGTGGGATGTCTGTGACAAAGACAGCCATGTCTGTCGTCTTTTTGACTCCAAGGAGCACAAGTTCAAGGGGCTTTTATCCGAGGGAGTGGAGGAACAACCTGCCAGCTCAGCACTTTTAGAGCTGGAGAGGATTCAATGGACAGAGAAAACACAAGAGCCTTTAAATTCCTCTAATCCCTGCATTGATCAGTGGAGTGTACAAGTCTATGTGCTCCAGACAGGAGCTGTAATGTGTGGACATTAGACTCGTGCGCTCAGAGGAATAAAAAGAAAGCTATACAAAAATGATGAAAAATAAACAAAATACCATTTAATGAACATGTTTTAGTTTTGGTTCAGTGATGCAGCAAAACTACAAGCAAATGTGTACAAGATGTTATTCTGCTGCCTGAGCTTTTTGTCTTTCTAGCCTTTTTTTATTTTTGTCAACTTTTTAGGATCTCAACCCCCACCCCTCTCTAATGCCTTTTTATGGGCACGTACAAATCTTTTTTACACGTGCAAAATATTTATGACCGAAATGTGTGCCCATACCTTTTATACTAAAAACAGTGCTGATGTGCAGAAACGGGTGGGAGGGTGGAACAAACAAATGTCAGAGGGGCTGTAATAACCAGGTGTCATGGCAACAGTTGTCGATTTCCCACTCTTGTTGCTGAAACTGTGTGTGTGTGTGGGGGGGGGGGGGGGGATCTTTGCAAAGAACGCATTTTTACTTTTTCTAAATTGCTGCATACGTTCATAAAAGGTGGGCGATAGTGTTTGTGTATTCATTTGTCTTTTTTTTTTTTGCAAAATATCTCAACCAGTGAATAGATTTTAATGAGGTTCTCAGAAAATAATTGGCGGTGTTGTACCTAAATCTTTATCTCAATAACATTTTGATTCAAGATGGCCACCACAGCAAAATAGCCTTAGCAACTGAATTCAAGAACTGTATTGAGCTCCAAAAACGGACCATAATTAATTATCACCGGTAACAAAAAAGGTCAACTCTTGTCATCTGGACTAGTTTCTTTAAACGAGAAAAGTTTCGTCCCCCATCCAGAGGACTTCCTCAGTCTGCGGTCTGCCAACCAGATCTGTCCCATAGGTAGCCTTCACTGCTGTGTTTCAAGCCAACCTCCTGTTGGAATCTCAGAAGCAGGCTTTAACACTTGCACAACATCCAAAACAATCAACCATCATGTACAACAAT